GAGGCTAGTAGTTAAAGCTCTTTGAAACAGATAGGCAACACACTTTTCATCAGTAGTAGTAGTCAATGCAAACTTTCTAACCTGAAGCACTTCAGCAGCATATCTCTGCGCTGCTGCATCCTGCTCAGCAAGTCTCCGTGCATCCTCTGTTACCTTATGTTCTTGCTCCATTCGCATCAAGATCTTCATAATTCTCAAGTGATCTTAGAATTACTATGCATTGAAGAGAGAACAGATTAATCTGAGAAGTAAACAAGTTGCAAACGCAAACCTGTATCATAGCACTTTCTTGCTCCTTCTTATCAGAAACAAGTCTTCGAAGCTCTGTCACCTCTTGCTCTAACTTCTCAATCTACCCAAAATTCATGTTCAGTAGCATGGGGACAAGTTAGACTATCTCAAATAGAAGAAGCAAGCTTTCTCCTTAACTCTTTATTCATGACAGGATAGATAAAGAAACAACTGTATCGACACACATGTTTATCTGGGAATGGAGTTTTAAATCACAATGGGAATACCTTAGCTTTCAGTTGAGGCCGATTGTCTTGTTTAACCATCTCCATGAGAGCTACCTCCAACTCCTCAGCTCTATAATAACATAGGAAGTGATCGAGGAATAATGAGGAGATATATAAAAGTTCACACGTGATTTTGAAATCGAAAGTCTTATACTAAGCTAAGAGATTAACCTTAGTAAAGCCGATCTTTTCTCCTCAAGTAAATTGTAGAGTTCACCCTTCAACCGAAGAACCTGAAGAAGTTCAACATGAGCTTTTTTTTTTTCTAAAAAAACATTGCAATTACGGGTCTAACGCGCACTTATATTCACACTAGTGAATTTATTGGGCCGTTCATGTGAGACATTTACATACAAGTATCTTGACAACATCCCTAATGGTTACTACCCACATCAATGGATGAGAATATCATAAATTTAACAAGAAAAAGTGAACACAAAATATTATTACTTAGGTATAGCATTTTAAAGGCCAACAATTTTCTACCAGAAACCAATACGAATGCCAGAAAATTTTCGGGCAAACGGTAAGATCTGTACATTTCCTTATTGACAGTGCTCGAACATGTACCATGGGAGAATATTCAAATAATTTACCCACCTGTGCTCAGGACTATATATCACTCTAAGATAATGCTTAAAAGAATCATGACTGTAGACAGTTTAAGTGGTTATGTCATCATGATTAAAAATCTAGCATTCAACCCAATTGATAGTAAAAGTTCTCTATCGCAAATTGGCATTAGCTTATAAGTTCTAGGGGCAGCATCTCCAACCCAACAGAAAGGATGACACAAATCACCTGTCCTTGAAGATCTTGAAAATAATCTATCTCTCCATCCCCAGTTAGACTAATCAAGACTTCATCTGCGTAACTGGATCCTGATTCAGAACGAGACAAACTCCCATTTGACAATGAGGCTTTGCTAAAATTCACTAAAACGGATTTTGGGTCTTGCTTAGAATTAAATTTGGTCGAAAGGCATTTCGAATCCCTCCAAGCTTGAAGGTCCTTTAATCTTTCCTCGAATGCAGCTATCACAGCTGGCCTGTGCTTGCTTCTTAATTCATGCAATCTACTTTCATGTACATTTTGGTAACCCATGCAAGCAGTGAAAACGAGCTGGCTGCTATCAAACGTTGAACCAGTCATTGATTGTAGCAAAGTAACAGCATCTCCAGCGTCCTTGGTTGTAATTAATGCAGGACCTGATACGGAAAGCATAAGAAATTTTGAGCATCCAATTATTATTACTGTATGTCTTAGCAATTAAATCATATGGACACTTAGGTTCAACCGAGTACCATAAAATTCCATCAATGCGAGTGCTGTTCTGAAAAGCATAACACGATTTCCTTCAAAGAGAAGCACATCCCACACTCTGAGAACTGTTATAACAAAGAATATATTTTAGACTAACAGTCAGTATATTTTAAGATGACAATTTGCCTATAAAAATATTCGTAATTACAATTAATAAAACCTGACCACTTTCCCATGGAAGCATATTGATGAAGATGGAAAGAAACCATGGCCCTGTAACACAAGCCACCTGCACTCCAAGATAATCTAGATGATGAACTGCAGAAATCCAGAAATCACAAGCATCAGCACCAACCACAAGGATTTAGTAAGATGATAAAAGACTACGAAGAAACTAACCCAATTTAGGAAATCTCTCTCGAACCAACTCCTCCAGAACTCGTTGATCAACCTGGGACAAGAATCCAAAAACTGGAACAATAAAAACAAAAAACTCTTTGTGGAAAGAAAAGTTACCTTTTTATCTGATGCTATAACTAGTCGGCCCCAAATGATAGACTAACATTTTGCAAAAACAATCAACAAAAATATATTTACCTGGGACTCGATCATCTCTTCTGAATAATAATCATTGAAGTAGTCATCAATGATTCCTACCAGCGACCTCCAAAATCAGGAGTAAAATTTAGTTAACTTACACATTTATTAAAAAGAAAATTTGGGGAATGGACTACCAGTAGTTAATATTCAACCAGAAAAAAAGGAGGTTTTCATTGACAAATAATATTAGGAGTTGGAGAGTAGAATCTGAACATACCAAAAAGCATTCTCTTCGGGCATCAGAAGTAATAAAAGTGCAGCAAAGAAATTCATGGCCTGCACATAATTTTTGATACAAGATAATAAATAACTGGAGATGTTCATTTTAGTCAGCATGTCACCATACTAGAGTACATGAGTGACAATTTTTAGTAACCAAATACCTGACAGTATCCAACAGAGGGATTATGCCTAGCATAGGCAGTAAGCAATCGCCGCAAAGCATTTCTTCCATCATCATCTAGGGCAGGATGACCTGGAAATGTCCGGGGTAAATCCTGTACTTGAAATAAGCAACGACTTGAGCAAAAAGACCAAGATCAATAGGACTCCAGCACTGCGCCACTAGTTAGAGATGCTTGACGCAAAGTATTGGAGGATATAACAGTTGCTAACCTTTTCTATCTGTCCTTTCCATTTTTCTACAACAGCGAGGGGGTCTGTACTTAAACCTTTCTCATCTGCATGCTGCATTTGCTCCTGCTCTATGTCGTTTCCTAGACTATCAGCAGCTAGCAGATTTTGGTAATAATTCTCAACCCGACGTTTCTTAACCCCCGCAAATGCTTGCCAGAGCTGAATATTTGTATATATACTTTCAGATTACTATCGAGCAGGAAAAAATAATCAACGAGAACTAAATATCAAGAGCTGGAGAATGATAAACCAGATAGACAAGAGAAGGCATTAATGCAGCATGACAAGGTTTATTACCTCACCCCTCAGAGCCATAGGTGCACCGCCGCGAACAAGTACTTCAAGTTCTTCTTTCCAGGGGCATGGAGATACTAGGGAAGTTGCATTAGCAGCAGCAGACATGCTGGATACGCTTGTACCATCTGAAGAACCATCCTGAATTGGATCTGATCTCTCCACATCATAGAATTCATCTTCAGAATCATTCTCACATAGTCCATTTGAAGATTTAGCATCATCAGTTGAAGGTGAAGATTTCAGTTTCTGAGCTTCTTGCTCGCCAATTGAAGAATCTTCTTTCTTGTTGACACGGACGCTCATCAAGTCCTCAATTGCTCGAAGAGATGGTCTGATCTCAGTCCATATCTGAAATCTGTGCACATTCTTCTCTGCATTGAGCTGCTCATCTTCCTCTCTCACATTTCCAGTAGTTAAATCAGAACCAGGCTTGTCACTATGCAGATCTTTTCCTTCAGCGCCTTTGTTTGATCCCTCTTCTATTTTCTTATCACTTTCAGTTGGATGTACATGATTATTTTCAGATGACCCATTCATAGATGACACGAAAGATTCTGCATGATCTTCCAGGAAACTGTTCCACCTATCTGATCTCTCTTCTTCCTCCTCCTGCAGTTTATAAGCAAGAAGCAACATTAAAGTTTAAAGTCCAACATCAAGGATACTAGTGACAGTAATTTATGACACAGGGAGCCTTTCGATATTTCAAGTATTTGATCAGGGCCACTAAATGAAATTCTAAGTTCAGTCCACTTCAGATATCTTTCACACAGGGTTTTCCCAGTAACAAAGCTTCCAAATGGGATCACCAAATTTAAGATATGCGTCAGTGTTTACTAAATAAAAGTTCTGGAGATAAAGAACCTTGTAGATTTTGACATATTCCCGGTATTGTTGCACATGATGAGGCCTCACAGAAAATCCATAAGCATCCCTGCTTGATAAAACCAACCATATTAACTTCATCAGTTCTAAAACATTCAGTTTCATCCATAAATCAAACCAACTCTCCAAAATTCATGTAGCTTATTGCAATCCACTGAAACAAAACTGTAATTTTCTCAGACAAGCCAAAATGTCAGCTCACTAAGGACTATACCACTTAAAGGAACGAAGCTGTAGTAGTTCAAATCAAGATCAATGATCATTAGTAACTATCAGTTTTCCAAATCCAACACAAAATCGAAGTATAACAAATGGAACTGAATACATAATCAGCAACAAAAACTCAACTAGTAATCTGAAAAACCTTCAAGGTAGTAAATCAGAAACAGAAACACAAACATCTAAGCAATGTAGCTAACTTAATCGATACCTCTTATGGTCAGATGCGAAGAGATGATTCACAGGTTTTGAAACAGTGTCGCCGATCACCATTCTTTAATCAGAGAACAACGAGATCTCTCCTAGTGAAGACGGTGAGAGTTTGAAAAAACGAAGAAGACGAGTAAGATCCTTTGAAGCAGAACCATTACTTAAATCATCATTCTGAAGGTCAAGGAAAATGAAGTTACTGAAGCTTAAGCAATTTTTCTTGCTTTAATGACAGAGAGGGATTGTCTTCTTTTTTTTTGATGTTTTGGGCTTTTTTGGGCCTTAAAACTTAAGCCCACTTCTTTCGTTATTTCATCTTTTTGTTTTCGTTTTTTGAGTCCACGTCACCGTCTTCCCAATTCGATTTTTCAGGTGCCCTAACTTCATCTTGTTCGATTCAACTTTGAGTTTTTCAATCTCAAGACTTGATCCAATTGAAGAAAGCTTGTTGCCGATGATGCTAAGATCCGGTCTTGCTTCGTTAACTGTCAATGTTAATTTACGGCGCACGTTACGTCCATGCGCACCATTTTCTTACCCGGCGCATCTTAGCCGTACATCGAGAAGCTGCATTATTGCTTCTCCTTACTCTTCCCATACAGCTTTAGGGTTTCGGATTCAGAGATGTAGCCACAGACTTTCCTGTTTTTCTTCCTCTTCGTCGGAGAAACGAGGAGGATCACCGCCGTCTTCTATCCGATCGAGCCTCGTGTCGGGTATGGGTCAAGACCACGCCGTCACGGCGAATCGGAATAGTTTCAATGGTCAAAGTCAGCTTGACGGTGGCGAGGATTCTTCTCCGCCGCCGCAATCATCTTCCAAACTTCTTACATTGCCCACCGTATTAACCCTTGGCCGTGTGGCTGCGGTTCCGCTTCTCGTAGCAAGTAGGTCAATTTGTTGATTCTGGTTTGCATCTTTTGGATTGTATTACTGTTAAACTGTGGGAAAGTCCCAGTTTTTTTTTTTTTGGCTTGTATCTCATGTAAATTCTGCATCTTTTTGTTTTCGTTTGTAGCTTTTTATGCAGATGGTTTGTGGGGAACAACTGCTACAACAGGCATTTTCATTGCAGCAGCCATTACAGACTGGCTTGACGGCTATATTGCACGCAAAGTACTATATTTTTTTATTACCATTCTGTTCTTTGATACACACTTCCTGCAATTCAAATTGCAAGCTTAATGGTGAGATTCATGTACATTTCAGATGAGGTTAGGCTCTGCTTTTGGTGCATTTTTGGATCCAGTTGCAGATAAGGTGTGCAGACTTGTCTTTTCTTAACGATCCCTTTGATTATTTGATTTTCAATCCCCAAGCTGATTTTATATATTCGGTTTTCAGCTTATGGTTGCAGCTACGTTGATTTTACTGTGTACGAAACCTATCGATGTTGCTGTACTAGGACCAGTGCCATGGTTATTGACAATACCTTCTATTGCTATCATTGGTAGAGAGGTAAGATATATGAAAATTGATTCTATTCCTTAAATTTCTTCACCTGCGGAGTAAGTAAAGTGTCCTGAACTTTATGATACATTTTTTTCCATGTAGATTACTATGTCTGCAGTTAGGGAATGGGCTGCATCTCAAAATGGAAAGCTTTTAGAAGTAAGCTAACCACCAACTATTTGCTTCCACCTCTATCTCTGATATTGTAGTACCTAAGAGTTTTTTTTCTTTTTTTTCTTATTGAACCATGAAATGGCGTTGATGGATGCTTACAGGCTGTTGCTGTAAATAACTTGGGCAAGTGGAAAACCGCTACGCAGATGACAGCCCTAACCATACTTCTTGCAAGCCGGGATAGCAATGTTGGGTGGCTTGTAGCTTCGGGTGCTGGCTTGCTTTATGTATCAGCAGGACTATCGGTTTGGTCTTTAGTCGTTTACATGAGGAAGATATGGAAAGTGCTACTGAAGTAGTGATTCATCTATCGGTTTTGTTTTGCTTTGACCTGCAATTGGATATAATGGAGGGGGGTCTCAGTCATCGCATGTACAGGTACCTTTTCTCCCTTGAGAAAAGCTTTCTTTCTGGAATCGGGCGACCATTGTATAATAGTTTTAGTTATATGTTCAGTGTCAGAACTCAGATTGGTTTGTATTTGCTCCATCAAGAAGTAGCACGAAATTTGAGTGCCGCAGCACTTGAACAGTAATCTCATGGCAAAATGCTTTGAACAAAAAGTAAAGGAAGAGGTCGAAGTTTGAGAATATGTACATGGTTTTGCTTACTTGGCTCTTTGCCAACACGGTGTGAATTATGGAATAGTCTTGGTTGAGTTTAAATCCTAATCATGATTCATGGGTCTATTGTAGATGATTTTGGCACTTGTTCCAAAATTCTTTTAGATGAATACAAATTATTTATATATCAATGAATACATCTCTGTTAAATATTTCATTTGCCTGTATCAATTGCAAACTCCAATGCTTAGTCAGCTTGATTTCTCATAGAGGAGGGACTGCATTTTTTTATGCAATGCAAATCGCACCCACCTGTCTAACATTCTTGACTTGAACATATCATTTTATTTCTTACCAAATCCTTATGTTCACAAGGGTGAATCTTATGAGCCAYCCAAGTACAAATCAAAAACTTTTGAGAAAAAGAATCTAAAATAGAACCACTATGTATCAAACCTATAAGCCCTAAAGAAAGGAAAAGATAGAAAACAAGAGCACGAGAAACAGAAGCCTATACATTTATTTTGGTTTCGTTTTTTGGCTACTGGACTAAGAAATCATTATATGAGAACTCAGGACTGGAGAAGAGATCGAATTGCTTACTCCCAAGAGTGTCTTTTAGTATTGTGATCTGACCTTCTTTAAAGAGTGTGTCCTCTTCCAATTTCTCTATCTTCTTCTTCAACATCTCCTTCTCTGACTCCAAATCCATGTTTCTCTCTCTGCATTCCCTCACCTCCTTCCACATTTGCTCTCTTTCCTCCAACACTTTTGGTAATGTAACTTTCATGTTAGACAACTCTTTCGCAGCTTCTTGGAGATTGATTTCAAGCCGGTTCCTGTTCTCTTCCTTCGTCACCATCTGATATCAAAATCATCATCAAAATACAATCAAGGAGCTTAATTCCTTATATGCCAAAAATTGTTTTATGAGGCACAAAATATATATGTGAAATACCTGCAGCTTCAGACCTTTTATTTGGTGGGTGTTTATTGAAAGCTTATCTAAGGTGTTTCGGACTTCACGTTGTAGAACATCGTTACCCCGTACTCCTGCTGATACCTCTGCTTGTAGCTGTTCGATTTCTTGTTCCTTGGAATACAGTTTCTCTCTAAGTAAACTTGTGATTAGAGTTTCTGCTCTCAGTTCAGCTCTCAGGATTTTCTGAATCAGATAAAAGTGAAAACATTTAGCACAAATAAACCTATGTCGAAATGTAATTAGCAACACATTGGAGGATAAGAAAATGAACAGATTCTGGAAAAAACTCACCTCCACTGATTGGTTGTTTGGTTCACCACTTGAGCAAGATAATAATGGAATAGCCTCATTGGATTTTTCAAGCAATAACCTGGTTACAGTTTCCAAACTCCTCTTCAGGCTTTCAGTTCCACGCCGTATTCCATGAACTCTCATCTCAGAACCAATCAGAAACTCCTCGCTTAATCCATTATTCATCGATTGTCTGTCCTGATAGGACTCAGGAAACTGAGCTAATTTCTCTTTCATGAACTTCAGTAACTTGTAACATAGCTGTGTGCTCTCATTCAACATTGATAGCCCTTGATCTTGCAAGTGGCATACACGCATCTTCATCTCGTTATCTAGCTTGAAGGTCATAGTGTCGGCTTCTTCTCCATTTCCTTTTACTCGATTCAGCAGAGAAATATTCTCACGACGAAGAGAATCAGCTTCGAGCTTCATCGATTCTACCTCCTTTCTAAGCGAGAATTCAACCCCTGTCAACCTTAGATGTTCCATCTGCAAGTTCTTGCCCATCTGTTCATATTTCTCTGACGGTTGCTTCTTAATTTCCTCGGAGAGACCAACTCTAAGCCCCTGAATTGTCTTCTCTTGTTCATTGCAGGTTCTCAGAAATTTCGTAACAGATTTGTGTAATTCCTTGCATTCCATATCTTTCTCTTCAAAGTTTTTTCTTAAGCAATCAAGATCTTCTATAGTACCATTGTAACTCTCTTGTAATTTGGAGAGGTTATGCATAAGATACATATTTTCTTCACGCAGTTCCTCTACGGTTGCACTCAACTCCGTAACTGTTTCTTCCATATGTCTTACTATATCGATGCGCTCAGTTTCTTTTTCATGGAAAGTCGATACTTCTCTTTGGAGTGAGACATTATGCTCGGCAAGCTCTCTGACACGTTCCCTCAACCTCTTCTCCTCCATCTGGAGGTTCTCGAGCTTTGAAGTCCACTCACTTGACCTTCTATCAATCTCTTTCTCCAATCCAAACTGTAACTCCCTCTTCTCTTTTTCTAGCCTCTTTATATGCAAGTCCCAATCCGTCTTTGCCAGTCTGATTTCTTCCCTCCCAGAATCCCTTTCAACCATTTGTGACCGCAAAAGACTTAAAACCTCCCGAGCCAAGCCTACCCTCTCCTCTTCCATTTGTCTTATATCCCCAACCAAAGTTGAAGTATCAAAGTCACAGTCTGAAAGGAACTTCTGCTCCTCCAGTTCTTCGGTGAGCAACTTTACTCTCTTCTCAGCTTCTTTACATTTCCTTTCTAGCTCGGAATTAACATCGCCTTCCTTACAAACATAGTTAGTGCCCTCATTCCTGTTCTTACCATGTGAGAATAACTCTCGGTGCTCTGTGTGGTCATCCGCGTAATATCTATTCACTGGTTCATTATGTTCAATCAGTGGAACATTGGCGAAAACATCTAAGTTTGAGTCAGGAGTTTTACCATAGACATCTTGTATTATGATAGGCTCATAACTTGACGCCTTTGACTTTCCGTGAGTATGAGAGAGTCTTTCAATTACACTTCTTGCAAGCGAACGAGACGATGCATTCTTGAAACCATTTTCCACACAATCAGCTTGAGAGAAATTCAGGCGAGTACCTTTTGTATCTCGTTTGTCTTTGACATTGTCTGATAGTGGCGAAGGGCTCTGAACACGCGGTGGAAGCCTCCTTCCATTGATGCTACCATTTGACGAACCGCTCTTTTGCTTACTCCGTTCTAAATGCTCTTCTCCATCAATGTAACGGTCCAAGACTTGACTCGAGAGATTACTAGAACAAGTTGACAAACTTCCAGATGAATCATGTACTTGGTACATGTGACTATATTCTGCTTTTTTACTTTGTCTTTCCGGAGTAAAACATCTGAAACTGAAAACGTTACAAACAATCAAATTAAATTTGTTCTTCGTTCTTGAACCAAAGTAACACCAAAACATTGAGACTTCTTCAACAAAGACAGAGCAAACATTTACTTACTGAGAAGAATGATTTCGCGGTCGATGCTGGCTGCTTCCAGTACCATTAACAGGATCATTCGATGAAGTTTTACCGATTCCATCGATGAGAAAAGCCGCCGAGGACAATGAACGGCTTCGTCTAAGAGCCTGACCATCAGATTCTTCACTCTGAGACTTCATAAAACTACTTTTTTCGGATTCTTTTGCGCGGTGAATTTGTTTATCAGTTCCATTACCAGAAGATGATTTGAAAAAGAAAAGCTTCTTCATTGTTGCCAAGCTGGTTAAAAGGATACTAAACAACACTGCACCTGGAATCAAATTTATATAAGCAGATTAAGAAAAGTTTCTTCCTTTTACAAACATGAAAAAAGGCATAAACAGGTCATAGAGAGGTAGGATTAGAGACAGTAATCATGAAACAGAACATAAAGTTAACATTTTGCAAACTCAGAAAGCGAAAAGAAAACAGAGCAAAGAAGAGTGTTCCAAAGTGAAATCTTACTTAAGTAGTTGCTTAATGAGACTAATTCAATCGAAATTGAGAATCTTTGACGATGATAAATGGTTAAAAATAGAAGAAACAAGATCAAGATCACACCACAAGTTTTTTTAACTACGAAAATGTCAGAGATTTTTTTTCTGACAGATCCGTAATCATCGAAATCGTAACTAAATTAAAAAAAAAAGACTAATCTACCCTTATTAAGAAAACCCTAGAAAACAAAACGGATTCGAATTGTTTATGATTATGCAAAGTCGAGCATCGAACCTGAGTCCTTTAATGGCGGAG